GGAAGCAGAAAAGTTGGTTGCTTCAAAGATTCACCCAATGACAATTATAGAAGGTTTGTTTCTGACTATTTTAATATTTACATTACTATATAGACATTCAAAGTATGAGTTTGTATGCTGTGGCCGTGTTTTGCAAGGTGATAACATGTTATTTTGTTTTTCTAGTATAGGTGGGGATCCCGTTAGGATGGTAATTGGTGCCTTTATCTTTCAATAGCAATTCTAGTTTTGGATGCATGAAAAGACATAAATATTAAGCTTAAAGCCTGGACCATTGTTCTCCTTTTTTCTTCTCCTCGTTGCATGAGTTGACCCACTCTTTCTGTTTTTCTCTGTTCCATGCTCACTCCCAATTAAATCTTCCCTGGGGACTTGCAGAAATAGGGTATTCCCGACCCTAATGGCAAAAGTAGGGTGGTTTTGCCGTCCACATTTTTATTTCTATTTTTATGAAGTTTGAATTTGGAACTCCTTCCCTTTTGAAGATTGAATATTGTGTTGTATGCCCGTGTTATGCTATTGTACAAAAATCTCAGCATCATGTTGTCTTAATGGAATATCTCTCTAATGATTATGCCTCGTCTCTATGTGTGTGTGTATGCATGCAGGACATCACCTCCTTTCTCTTTCTCCCCTTTTTCGTTATGTGGAAACTAGATTGATTATTTTGTTTTTTTTTTCCTGGTACTTTCTACCTTTGTGATGTGTATAAGTTGATTAAGCTTGTCATGGTTCATTTGAAACTTTCAGGTTACAGAATGGCTGCAGAATGTGCTCGTAATGCTTTACTAGGGAAAGTGGTGGATAATAAAGCAGATTTAGGTAATACGCCCATTTCTTCCTATCATTTTAACCTCTCCTTATCTTGCATGAGACTGTTAAATATATTTTTTTACACAGACTATAAATTTCAGATCTTTTATGATACTAAAACTGTGTAATCGGAAGTTGCGGTTGCCCTTTTTCAGAGAAATTTAAATCAGACTTGATGAAGATTGCAATGACTACTCTTTGTTCCAAAATTCTATCACAAGACAAAGAACATTTTGCTCAATTGGCAGTAGATGCTGTAATGAGGCTAAAGGTGAATGCTCACTCTTATCTATATGTTGGGCTTTGGGTTAAAATTATGTAGGAACAAGTTTGATTGCAAGTTGAAATATCATGATGTTTATTGCTGCTATTTGATGGGTACTGTTCCTCATCGTAATAAATTCTATGTTCATGTGTGTGTCCGAGAGAGAGGGAAGGACATTTTAAATAATGTGTATCTGTCTACATGTTGTGTTGGTGTGTCTAATATTCCACACCTTTGGATGTGTGTTCTATTTGATTTTTACCTTGTTAAAATTGCAGGGGAGCACAAACTTAGAGTCGATTCAAATTATCAAGAAACCTGGAGGATCATTGAAGGATTCCTTTTTAGATGAAGGGTAGGTTTTTGTTTTTTGTATTATAACAAGTTTGAAGCTAATGCATATTTGTTGCATCTTGTGTTGCAAATTCTTAAGAAACCTGGAGGATCATTCGAAAACTATTTCATCAAGTGATCTAATTATTTAAATTGACGCAATTCAGGAATGTTTTTTTCTGAAAAATGCTCTTGCTATACAAGCATACTTGCTACATTTAGAAATATTTTTTGTCCTCTTTGGAAAGTTATTGATGTTTAAAATACGAGATTGTATTTTCTGAGCAGGTTTATTCTTGACAAGAAAATTGGTATTGGCCAACCGAAACGCATAGAGAATGCCAAAATTTTAGTGGCAAATACTGCTATGGACACTGACAAAGTTAAGATTTATGGTGCCCGAGTTCGTGTTGACTCAATGTCAAGGGTTGCTGAGATCGAAGGTGCTGAAAAGGAAAAAATGCGAGAGAAGGTAAAGAAGATAATTGGTCATGGAATCAACTGCTTTGTTAATAGGCAGTTGATCTACAATTTCCCAGAGGAACTATTTGCAGATGCTGGAATACTCGCCATTGAGCATGCTGATTTTGATGGCATAGAGCGTTTGGCTTTAGTAACTGGTGGTGAAATTGCTTCAACTTTTGACAATCCCGAATCTGTGAAACTTGGATATTGCAAGTTGATTGAGGAGATTATGATTGGCGAGGACAAACTGATCCATTTTTCAGGTGTGGGAATGGGTCAGGCTTGTACAATTGTGCTGAGGGGTGCAAGGTATTCTGAAAAAACCGATAGATTTTATTTCTCATTTTAGGGTGATTATTCGTGGTCATATTTGAATTTACGTTCTTGTCTTGAAGCTGTTTCATTTGCAATGTTATATGTTTTGATGGTGCTATGTCGTGTTTTTGTTCTTTGCCAGCCATCACGTCCTTGATGAGGCTGAAAGGTCTCTGCACGATGCCTTGTGTGTATTGTCTCAGACAGTCAATGACAGCAGGGTCCTTCTTGGAGGCGGATGGCCCGAGATGATTATGTCAAAGAAAGTGGATGAGTTAGCTAGGAAGACCCCTGGGAAGAAATCGCATGCTATTGAAGCGTTTTCACGGGCTTTACAGGCTATTCCAACGATCATTGCTGATAATGCTGGGTTGGATAGTGCCGACTTGGTCGCACAGCTCCGGGCTGAGCATCACAAGGAAGATTGCAATGCAGGGATCGATGTCATATCTGGATCAGTAAGTTTTCAGGAAGATATTACTAAATTTAGGAATAATAATAACTCAATTGCTATAAAGTAACTGTTGCAGTAAGTACACATCGTATTCAGGAAGATGCAGTCCTTCATGATTTTCTTATTCCTCTCGCTTGTTCTGTTATTTAATTGATCGTTAGTAACACAAATTTTGTCATGTTATAATATTGAAGCTCAACAGACACGTTTTAAAAAACCTTGAGGGAAAGCCCAAAAAGGACAATATCTGCTAGCGGTGGGCTTGTGCCGTTACAAATGGTATCTCAGATCCCACATCGGTTGGGGAGGAGCATGAAGCATTTTTTATAAGGTTGTGGAAACCTCTTCCTAGTAGACCCGTTTTAAAAAAACGTTGTGGGGAAGCCCAAAAAAGACAATATCTGCTAGCAGTGGGCTTTTGCCGTTACAAATAGTATCAGAGCCAGATACCGGGCAATGTGCCAGTGAAGAGACTAAGCTCCAAAGGGGGTGAACATGAGGCAATGTGCCAGTGAAGAGACTAAGCTCCAAAGGGGGTGAACATGAGGCAATGTGCCATACACTGGGCCCTGAAAGGGGGAGGGTGAGTTGGAGGGCCCCATATTGATTGGAGAAGGGAACAAATGTCAGCAAGGACACTGGATTCTTAAGGGGAGTGGATTGTGAGATCTCACATCGGTTAGGGAGGAGAACAAAACATTCTTTATAAGGGTGGGGAAGCTAAAAAATGACAATATCTGCAAGCGATGGGCTTGAGCTATTACAATATGACTGCGAACTGAAAATTTATCAATAGATTGTCGAGATTACCTCTGATTTTGTCTCATAATATCGATAATTCTCTCTCTAACCCGTATTGTGATGATCATATATGACAGGTTGGAGATATGGCAGAACTTGGCATTTCAGAATCATTCAAAGTCAAGCAAGCCATATTGCTTTCTGCCACAGAGGCAGCTGAGATGATTCTTAGAGTTGATGAAATCATCACCTGTGCCCCTCGGAGGAGAGAAGATAGGATGTAAAACAGTGTATGGTTGTGGGGTGGCAATGACATCTTCTGTAAGCACTATCTTATCTCATGCCATATTTACTATTATTGCCATCACTGCTCTGTTGTGAATGTTATATGTAAGGTTGGATTTTGTAGGGGGAGGTTTCATTTCCTTGCAAGAATTTTGGGTTTTTCGTTTACTCCCTCGATCAGTCGGTGTATTTCCATTCACTCATCAGCTGACTAGAGGGGATGCTGCAAAGTTCAGTTCATGAGACTGCGGTGGAGGGGAGCACTCTGCCACAAAATGAATTGCCTTCCTTTGTTGGATCTTGCTGGTGCCACCGGAACGTGTTATATTTTGGGTTTGGCTAACTTATCCTTGAGTTCTGACCTCTCTATGTTCTTCGTGGATGCATGTTTATGCTGGTGTTCAAGAATTATCTCAGATTCTGAATTTTTTTTTTTGAAAAAAGGGTAAAAAGGTGCAGCAGAAAGTTCTTATTTATTCTGAACTTCTGGAATCTGAACATTGAACTTCAGTTTCATTTTAATCTTACAGTTTTTCTGTGTTCCAAGTGAACTACAAAATTAATCTTTTAGGTTTTAGATTTGGCAAATAGATAATTCATGTATCAATTATTAAGTACATAATAATATATTAATTTTGAAAAAAGTGCCAAATTAATCTTAAAATGTTCGACTTTATGTCTAATAACATTTAATAAATTTCAATTGGTTGACCAAAACTTTGGATTGATATCACATCACATCAATAGCCATAAGCTTTTTGATCGTCAAATTTGTTTGCTTCCTTTATTTAATGTACAAATAATTCTGATTCCTAAATATCTACTCCTTCGAGAAAAAATCAATTTATGTCCCACCACACTAAATTTTCATAAATAAATTATGATCTTTATCTATTTAAAATCAACTTAAAAATATTTAGTAAAATTATTTTTTCTCCAAATTTCTAACAAAGTAGCAAAAAAATTATAGAATAAAGATATAAAGATGAGAAAATGAAAATCCCAATCATATCAATAAAAAAATCACTATGAGTAGCTTTCCGAATTTGAGAGAACTACTACTGCCAAAATTAAAAATTTAGAGTTCCTATAAACATAAAATCTAAATTAATATCCAATTCATCACTACATTTCTACACATCTTAAGGATATACCAAAAAATATCCTAACAAATAACATCCAGATCCACCTAAGTATAAGATTACAAAACAGATCTGTCCTTATCCACAGCTATATAAACATATGTATATCTTGATCAATAATTTCATTTTCTGATATTTGAATAAAGATTTGCATGGGTTAATGGGAGGGTGAAATGAGACTATTGGGTGAACCAAAAGCATTCACATTCATAAGCTAAAAAACTGAAAATTAGCAACATCCTTTCCTAACATCAGGCAGAGAAACCTTTTTACATTTCCAAACTGATCTTCACCAAGCTATAATTATATATACAGAAAGTTCATCTAATACTCACAGATTGAAAAGGGTGTCCCTCCTTCTCTCACCTAATATGAGAATCAAGAGGAAGAAACACTGGATCAGGAACAACCAATGGCAGCTTCTCAATGTATGCAAATAGTCTCTTGCGGTTGTCCTGCAAAATCGAAGTTAGATCAATCATTTCACTCTTATCTGTGAAGATCCAGAGGTCGCCGGAGTTGACTCTCTTGAGGCTATCCCGACAGAACGGACACGACTGAGAACGATTGCGCCTGAAGGATGAAACAGACAGACAAGATTCTAGTCATTCACAGTAAGATTGAAGGGTCTTGAGAATGCTAGCAATAAATGCAACCTAAAGACATCAGGATGGGTAAGAAGATTTTTCAGATCCAACAGAGAATTCAATTTTACCCAAATGATTCATTTTATCTAGAACACTTAACGACAGGTGTCTTTTTGTATGTTGAAAAAAATATTGCTGGTCCTAAAAGTGGATAACTTTTGGCACGTCTGAAGAATAAACTTATCTACTCTCTTTAAAGCACTTATGAACTCTGCCAAAGAAACTACCAAACATGACGGAATCACAGACAAATTCTTACCAGTCTCGATAACACATCAAGCACAAAGAATGGTTGCAGTTGGGCAAGACAACCATGGTGTTAATCTCCATGCAAATTCCACACTCCTTTTCTCTTTCTATGTCGATTTCTGAGAGTTTCCCCCTTCCAATTTCATCCCTTCTTTTGTATCTGGCATTGCAGACCTCTTTTTGTTTTCTATCTTCCAATTCTGTGATGCCCCTTTGAAGTTGCAGAAGAGAAGGGAAGATTACCACTGTGATGAGAAGGCCAATCCATTAAAACCCCCACCAGAAAACAACAAGAAGTTGAGAATTCAAAACTTATAAAGTAAAAGTTCATTCATTAAGGCTGCACTCTCAAAATTTCACTCACCATAAAATTCTCTAATGCTAGCTTTACGCTCATAAATGGCCATGGTGGTCTTTCCATCTGGATAAGTCTGCATCATAGCATGGTTGCACAAGTAAAGATAAGGGACTTCAATGGAAAAGGAATATCAAGACAACATAAACACACAAAACTAAGACCAATACCCAACTGGTAATTAATGCCAAACAGAACCAAAATGAAAAGGCATACATACCACATAGATAAGGATTCTTAACAGCCCCAATGCACCAGCAAGGTAACAATCAGTCCATTGAACAAGAAAAAGAAAAAAGGGAGCAGCAGGGCTGTATGATAATCTCATTTGAACACAAGCCCCATCACTCTCTCTTGGACAGTCTAAAGCACTGCAAACAAAACGAATAAACAATCACCAAATTTCCAATGCTAATTCATACGAAGCTACTATCAATCTGACACTCCCTACTGCTCAACTTTTACACAGCCGACAGAAAGAGCAATCAACGATTAAATTTCTTTCCTATCACTGAAACTAAGCACCACTGCAGCAATAAAGATCTTTCTTAATTTGCTTCGGCAATTCACTGAAGGATATTTATATTGCTTGTCCAAATTCTACAATGTAGACAGTTTCAAGAAGTAAACAGTTCCTTGTACAGTCAACAGTAGAATATGTATCTTCTGGAGAAAATCAGAGCGAGAAAACAAGAGTTAACAAGGAAAATCAAGCAATAAACATGGAGGACTCAATTTCTTAATTCTCAGCTTATTTAAAGGGGGATTTGTCGGCCAAAAGGTTACTGAAACAATAAAAAATCCATACAAAACAAAAATTATGATTCGCAGAGAGAGAGGAGAAGAAGACTTACAGAGTATTGGCATACTGAACATCGGCTTCAAGCGCTTTAAGCGAATCCTTGAACGAAAGCTTTCCCATGGCGTCGAATTTTCCCGGGAAAACAAAAACACAGTTTCAATCCAAAGCAAACGAACGATCAGTGAATCAAGTAGAATCAAAATCTCGAGGCGAAACCCTACAGATTATCCTCATAATCAAACAGAAAAAGGAAGAAAGGAAAATCCCGTAATGGAAAAATCCGCAAAAGATATTATGAGCAGAAATTCTCTCTAAGCAAACGCCGGTTTCTCTCAGCTCCGTTTCAAAGCTGCTCTCTTTCATAAATATCATCACAATGTAGTGAATTTACAATCTTACCCTCATTTCATGAACTAATTACGATTCGACATTTTTTATTTTTTTTAATTGTTTATTGGGCTGCAATCGCGTACAGTCAAAAGCACACTACTGAATGGCAATTTAGCCAATGACGTGTCGCCAGCAATTCAGTTAGGGCCCACAAAGAAATAAGATTATGCTTATTTAAATGACGTGGCGAGTTTTTATTGGTTAATAGGAATACCAGGCTACGCCCAATGTTTTTAAATATGGCGGCTAATATTAAATTACGTCCTCATTCCCATTCACTAGAATTAAAAGAATTTTATTTTTTTCTCCAAAAAGGTTTTAAATTATTTTTAAATGGTTATTAACCTTACAAATTTTTAATTATGAGACTAATGACTGTTTTATCAAATTTTAAAATAAAAAAAACTTAATAAAAATACATTTTTATCTCAAAAGTATATTCAATTTATTATTTTATAATTTATTTGAAAAGTTTCATTAATACTTTTAAATATTTTTAAAAAAATTATCTAAAAAAATATTCTTAAAATTTTCAATTTTTTTTTTTCTAAAATTACCTTTTCGATGAAATTTATTAATATTTTGCTTAAACTTTTAAATTAAAAAAAATACCATTTAAATTTTAAAAAGTTTAACTAATATTCTACCATTTTTTTTTATTTTTTTTAAAATATTCTTACTATTAGTACTATATTTAAAAAATACCAATAAATATATGAATGAAAAAAAAAATGTTAAATTTTTTTTACCATAGATGAAAATCTTCTAACACCTCATGAATTATATCCAAATTTTTTAATGTTAATTTCACTAGTACTTTTCAAATGTAGAATGGTTAAATTTTTTTAATGTTTACTTCCTTGGTGCTATAGAAAAAAGGAGACGCATCACTGAACTTGCTGAACATATACCCTTTAAAGAGCAGGAGCTTCGTTCTTTCAATACTCGAACAATACCTCTCAAACACCTATTCAAGAAAGAAATCACAGAAGACTATCCGGATAGAACGCGTTGGTTGCAGCAACTGTTTTGGATTTACGTATTTTTTTTTTATAATAGCTAGAAATAAGTTTCGATACAACTAAAAAATGGGGCCCAATATCGAGAGGAGAATAGATAGGAGGTCCGCTAGTTATAATCTAGCACTATGATATAATAACGAGGCATCATTACTTTGATTTTAGTTTTGCTGATAAACGAGTCGTAAATAACGGTTAAAATATGTTTCACCTAAATATTCAAATGAGGAGTTATTAAAATATTAATTTTAGAGGATAAAGTTTTGAAATAAATTTTGATTTATAAAATTTTAATTGCACAATTTATTTTTTTAAAATAATTAATTAGTCAAAATCATAGTGTTAATGATATAATTGACTGTATTTCTTGTCAAAAGAATTTGGAGTTTTTTTTTATTTATAAAATTAAAGTATTAAACATAATTATTTAAATTAAACTATGGATAAGATTAGGTTTATTTGACATATTTGTCACTTTCCTTAACAATAAAATATTTCAATTGGGAATATATATTTTTTTAGTTTATTATTATTTTTTAAAATCCATAATATTTTATAATTACAATAAATGTATAATGATTTGCAATTTTAGAAATGATATTTAATTAATTAATTAAACACTTTAATCCCCTAAATTATTTTATTAAAAACTTTAAATTATATTTTGGTCAATTGTTTTGGATGTTTATGTGCACGTATGATCTTTTAGAGAGTTTCACGGTCAAACGCCTATTTTATAATTTTAGTCAATAATTGGCGTTCACTATTCTATTAAGGGTATACACAATTTGGGTCAGAGTTAGGTTGGGAAAATCATTTAGACTTACCCGAGGTTGGTTGGGGACCACAGAAGGATTTTAAAATCTAATCTAACCCAAATATTGAATATTTTTAATCTTCACAATAATCTTAAAAGTATGGTAGGGGTTGGGTTGAGTTGAGTTGTAACTCTATTTTTAGGTTTGTTGGGTTGATCTGACCATAAAAATGTCAACTCGCTAATCGACCCGAATTTTCGATTTAAAAAAAAATCAATCCAACCCACACTGAAATATACATTAAATCTAGGTTGGGTAGTTTGGATTGGTCGGGTTCTTAGGTTATACGAACACCTCTAAGTTCTACCATACATCAAATATGAGTTGGATAGTCTGAATTGTCGAGTTCTTAAGTCATATGAACATTTTTATATTCTACTGAACGTTCAATTCTCACTCGTAAACACACACATATATATACAAAGAAATTAATATACATTTACAAATCGTTAACAGTTTGGTATTAGTTTATAAATATTGTCGTTTTTGGGTAATGAATATTTTAAGCCTAAAGATAAACATTAATTTCAATTTTTTTTTGTATAATAATTTTTAAAAAAATAGTGAATATTAAAATTTTCAAACCCCATTATTTATTTTCAACAACTTTAGTATTTCTTACAGCTATATTAAAAATTCTAAATCTATATTTTAAAATTTAGTTGAATTTCAAGAACTAAAAAAATATTTTTTTAATTTGGCCAGCGATTCAAAATATTTTATAATAAATAAAAAAAACAAAATGTAAAATAAATTATCAATAAATAAGCTTAATATTTACATGTGACAAAAAAACCAAACATTTTAAAATATTTCATTGAAACAAGACAATAATATGGTTTCTAGAATATGATTTTATATATATATATAAGAGAATCAAAGTCAAAGCAGTTGATGTTATGTAAATTAAGTCTTAGTGCTCTAGAAAAAAGTCAAACCCGGTCTGAAATGTCAGCTCTTAAAATGATAACTTTTTTAAATAATAATAATAATAATAATAATAAAAATTCTTAGAATTGTTCAGTTTAAGATTTTATATTATAAAGTATCAAATTTTCGAATAAAAACATAATATTTTTGTGATTAATTTAAATAATTTTATGCAATTATAAAGTATTAAATTAATCTAAATTAACTTTTAATAAGTTAACTTATTTGTATTTTATAAATTTATTTAAGTAAATTTAAACAATTAGATTTTTAATTTAATTTAAGTTAACCAATGGGCTTTCTTTCTAATGGGCTAAATATTGGGTTATCATCATTTCTAGGACCAACATACCTTTCATCTTAGACCAACTTGAACATACCCTTGTACACTTTTTCATCTTAGACCAACTTGAAGAGGGTGACGATCCAAACCGCCGAATAAAATTTACGATCCAACTCAACCCAATCCTCAAGTCACATCGCATCACTAACATCGATAATAAATGTTAAATATTTTTATTTTTTTTAAAAATTAGGGTTGGATTGTAACCCTATTTTCAAGTTGGTCGGGTTGACCCGACAAAAAAAAATGTCAACCTGCAACCAAATTTTTATGATTTAGGTTAGGGGTGTACACCCAACCCGAAAACCCGAGAACCCAACCCGGCCGAACCCAAAATATAAGGGTTGGGTTGGGTTGTGTTGGATTTCGGGTTTCGGTTGGGTCCATTTTTTTAACCCGATCTGATTTGGGTTAGGTCCATTTTTTTTAACCCGATCTGATTGGGTTGGGTTCGGGTACCAAAAGAAAATGATTGGGTCAACCTGGCCCAACCCGAAAATATTAAAAAAAAAAAATTAAAGCCCAAAAGCCCGAAGTCAAAGCCCATTTTACAATTTATCTAATCTCTGACCAAAACCCAAGCCCAAACCCAAACCTGACATTTCAAAACCCAATAATTACTTTGTTAGTGAAAGAAATTTCTCCCCCCGAGACTCGCCCAAGGACTCCCTCTACAAAAATGGCTGTTATTTTAAATATATTATTTTAAATAAGTTATTTTAAATTTTCATTCCCCTTTCCAATTCATTTTACTCTCCAATCCATTCCTCTCTCTACCTCCCTTCAATCCATTCATCTCCCTACTTCTCAATCCATTCATCCATTCCTCTGACTACCTCTTTGCAATCAATTCCTCTCTCTATCTCTCTGCAATCCATTGATCAATTCCTCTCCCTACCTCTCTACAATTCATTCTACTCTCAGCCTCTTCACTAAATCTATTCCTTTCCCTACCTCTCTGCTCTCAGCCTCTCCACAAAATACAAATCTCTCTCGATATTTAGTCTCTCTCAAGGAATTTGATCTCAATAGCATTCTCTTGCGTTCTTTGTCTTGTTTCTTTCTCGCGCGCCGTCTTTCTCTCTTTAGTCTCCTAGAACACTATAACGGATAAGTTTTTTCTCTTTTTTTTGTTATATTCCCTTGCAAAGACTGATCGTATATTTTAACCTTGATGCATTATATGATAATTGTTCATATTGGGTTAAATGTTTGAATCATAATAGTTCTATTTTACTTTATAGATGGAAAACAATAGTGCAACTGTATGTGCAAGTAGCTCTAGTAATTATAATGCATCGAAACCACCATTGACTACACAATCTGAATTTAAGGAAATCTGAATTTAAGGAGAAGAAACCCAGTAAATCAACCGTGTGGGATCACTTTACAAGATTAGAGAATAATAATAAGAGGTGCAAGTGCAACTATTGTCCTAAGGAGTACTAATTCTTGTGGAACTAACAGGTTATGGAAGCACTTGAAAAATCAGTGTAAGAAGTACACATATAAGGTGGAGGACAAAGGACAAACCACTCTAAGTTTTCAACTTTCAATAGATGGAAAGGGTGGTAGTAATAATTTTGATGGTGTATTTTATAACACATGCGGAAGCAATTTGGATCTTAGGCACTTTTAGAACATCAATTATAGTAAATAACTAACATGTTCATAAATATTAAAACTTAATGAGTTTGAATACTAACCTTTTGTAGTTCAAATTCCTTTTTCCTCACGAACCAGTTTCGAACCACCACTAGTGTCTTCTCCACTATCCTCCGGCCTTAGAACAGGATTGTGGAATCCGGTGAGTGACTAAAGTTAGGAGGGATTTTGTATA